CGTTACGTTACATGGTGAGAGAAATCGAGGGTACGTAACGACTACGTTACGTTACATGGTGAGAGAAATCGTGGGTGCGTAACGACTACGTAACGTTACATGGTGAGAGAAATCGTGGGTGCGTAACGACTACGTTACGTTAAATGGCGAGAGAAATCGAGGGTACGTAACGACTACGTGAGGAAAATCGTGACACGTAACGGGCTGCGTTACATGGTGAGGGAAATCGTGACCACGTAACGGGCTGCGTTACATGGTGAGGGAAATCGTGACCAAGTAAAGGGGTGCGTTACATGGTGAGGGAAATCGTGACCACGTAAAGGGGTGCGTTACATGGTNCACACACACACACACACACACACACACACACACACACACACATACACACACACACACACACACATGTATATATATATATATACGCACTCGCGCAAACGCTCACGCACGCAAAATAATAATGATAACGATAATATAATATAATGACAATTAATGATCTTTCCAAGACGATAACAATATATAGAAAGTAAATATTTATTTCTCGTTTTTTTCCCGCGTAATTCTTGTAGAGGCAGACGTCAACTTCCTCATGAAGATGGCACTGGGTAAGATAGCTTTCATTCCTTTCGGCTACCTCATCGACCAGTGGCGCTGGAGTCTCTTCAGTGGCGAATACTCCACGGCAGAGATGAACGAGAAATGGTGGGATCTGAGGTACGTTACATGGCGAGAGAAATCGATGGGTATACGTAACGACTACGTACGTTACATGGTGAGAAAATCGAGGTATACGTAACGACTACGTTACGTTACATGGTGAGAGAAATCGTGGGTGCGTAACGACTACGTTACGTTACATGGTGAGAGAAATCGGGGTATACGTAACGACTACGTACGTTACATGGTGAGAGAAATCGTGGTGCGTAACGACTACGTTACGTTACGATGGTGAGAGAAATCAGGGTATACGTAACGACTACGTTACGTTACATAGTGAGAGAAATCGTGGGTGCGTAACGACTACGTTACGTTACATGGTGAGAGAAATCGTGGGTGCGTAACGACTACGTTACGTTACATGGCGAGGGAATCGAGGGTATACGTAACGACTACGTTACCGTTACATGGTGAGAGAAATCGTGGGTGCGTAACGACTACGTAACGTTACATGGTGAGAGAATCGGAGGCGTGCGTAACGACTACGTTACGTTAAATGGCGGAGAGAAATCGAGGGTACGTAACGACTACGTGAGGAAAATCGTGACACGTAACGGGCTGCGCTTACATGGTGCAGGGAAATCGTGACCACGTAACGGGCTGCGTTACATGGTGAGGGAAATCGCTGACCACGTAACGCGGCTGCGTTACATGGTGAGGGAATCGTGCACGTAACGGCTGCGTTACATGCTGGAGGGAATCGTGACACGTAACGGGCCTGCGTTACATGGTGAGGGAATAGCTGCACGTAACGGGCTGCGTTACATGGTGAGGGAAATCGTGACACGTAAAGGGGTGCGTTACATGGTGAGGGAAATCGTGACCACGTAACGGGCTGCGTTACATGGTGAGGGAAATCGTGGGTACGTACAATAGAGATATATACGATATGTACAATACGTATATACAATACGTATACAAAACGTACGATACGTACACTACAAGAGAGATCACAATATATTGTGTGTTTTTGAAGGTGCAAATGGCAGGGCCTGAAGTCAGATTCCGTAAGAACTGAAGAGAACTTTGACCCAGGATCAAAATATCACATTCCCTCCAATACACCTTACATCAGGTAAGCGTATAACTCGGATAATTAGTTGTGGTTATGTAATAGTAACAATAATAATAATAATAATAATAATAATAATAATGAGCAATAATAAAACCACGTAAAATATAATTAGTAATTATATAAAGTATCGAGATTAAAGTAAAAAAGTCCAAATAATATTCCCGCGCGTTTACCACAACGTGTGATATGAAATCAGCCTGGTGACAATCACGCACGCACGCACGCACGCACGCACGCACGCACGCACACTCACACAACATATATACACACGATATACATGGCCGTCCGAAAGGGGGTGCAATGGGTGCGGTCGCCCCCCTTATTTTCCAGAGTTTAAACAATGGAATTAGTTATTTAGCCGGCAAGTCAATTCGTTGCGCAAATGTTAGCGTAGGGCCAATATTTTCGCGTGTTTGTGCATGCGCGTGTTAGCATGTGATGTGAAGTTGTTGGTAGGACCAATACAGGTGCACTGCACACACTAACACAGTGTAACAGGCAATCAAATCAACACACGAAACGTTTTCTAAATATATTTGCAGGTTTCCTTTACCGCAAAAACGTACAGTATCTATATTTATTTGCCGTTTTTGCACATTGCTTTATAACATTTTACAACAGTAGTACTACAACTTTATTATTAAAACATGGACAACGCTTGTGTCGGGCCTGATATATGTATATGTATTTATATAGCAAATTATGCGAAGTGCAATCATGAATTGATGAATCGATTCACCGTCGTCGTCGTGTTTCAGATATTTCGTCTCCTACATCATACAGTTCCAGTTCCACAAGTCTCTGTGTGAGACGGCAGGCCACACGGGTTCACTGCACACGTGTGACATCTATAAAAACATAGAAGCAGGCGACAAGCTAGCGTGAGTGTTTCCTCAAAATGGCGGAGATCCCACCTCCCCGTTGACGCTCTACATTCTGTAAATTTGCACCGACATTTGGGTATATCGATGGGTTCCCGTTAGTTCCAGGACTGGATTTAAGCATAAGCTAAACAAGCTACCGCTTAGGGCCTCACAGTCTGAAGAAGCCTCTCAAAATCTCAGATTTTTTTTTCTCATTTGTTACAGTTTTATCATAGTTTATATTTAAGTAATGATTCGCTGCTCATATAGTAAAGCTTGGATCAGGAGTAAATCATCATAAATTATAATCACAAATAATCACGAATATGTGATTATTTACTCTTGCTCGGATGTATACATAAAGAGCGAAAGAAGGCGCGGTTTATTAAGGAGTAAAAACTATTCAATCCCCCCCCCTTTCCGCGATCTATCTGGTTTACAGAGAGGCGATGAAGCTTGGAGCGTCGAAACCCTGGCAGGACGCCATGGAAATTCTTACGGGACAAACCAAGATGGACGCCACCGCCATAATGGAGTACTTTCAGCCACTCATCGACTGGCTGGATGAACAGATTAGCGAGCATGAGCTAACGCAAGGCTGGGACTGCACGATCCCGAGCACCGGTACGTGAGGCGAGCACTGGTGGCAGCTACACGCACGCGTGTACACACACACGCACGCGTATGCACACACTTAAACACATGCACGCACAAACACGCGCGCGCGCACACACACGCGCGCACACACACACACACACACACACGCGCGCACACACACACGCGCGCGCACACACACGTGCACACACACACACACACACGCGCGCGCGCGTACACACACAAACGCACACGCACACGCACACGCACACGCACACGCACACGCACACGCACACGCACACGCACACGCACACGCACACACACACACACACACCGACGCTATAATATGCTGTAACACGGACGTGGGGTGGTATCCGCGTGGTGGTGGTATCGACAGCGGGAATTAGATATAAATAAACATCCTTCAAAAACACGCGAGCGCTGTGCGCCACGCGGGTGGCACAACAACAACTTATTGTCTCTGTATTATATTCCCCATCGGCGCAGTTATTCCGCAGCTTTTCATATGCCGCCACACAAACACCGACGATCCGTCGCTAACCCTAACTCTCCCGTCTTCGCTCTCTCATTACAGGAGGAGCGAGCAGGGCGCACGCGGCGTCTGCTATCGTCGTTCTCCTAGCAACGATGTACTCGCTGCTGCTGCTGCGTCTCTCGTAACGGATTGCAACGCTGACGTCACGGATTCATGTGCACACGTGTCGATTACAGTCGCGTGAAATTGACGCGTTCGATTTAGTGATTATAATAAAAAAAAATGTGATCGCGTACGAAATACTTTGCTTATAGAGCATCGAGGCGCGGGTGATAAAAAGAGAGAGAGAGAGAGAGAGATTAAATAAATAAAAATAATACATTAAACACGATAATACATGAACGCACACATAAACAGCACGTGCGTGAAATAAAAAGAATTCACACACCTATACATTCTACAATAAAAAGAATGAAACGACACCCTAGGTTCCACTGACACTAAGAACGGCAAGGGTTTGCACATCTATTCGCACATATTATATGTAGCCTTGCGCGTATTCTATGCAACGAGCACCCGCACTTACGCACAGGTTAGAATTTGCTCTCCTTCGGTCATTACCAATACCAATTACTAAACCGAAAGGCATAGCTATGAACATTTATATATAAATATATAGAGATATATTCATACAAGCGTCTATAGATTTGACAGGAGAGACCAGACGCACGTCAATGACAAATGAAGCAATCATATATCACAGAATTAAGACACGCAGATAGGAGATGAAGTCTCGCACAGTGAGGCAATATTTGCATATTGCATGATCGTGACTTGGCCTAGAGATAATATAAATATCTGCTGACGGAAATCAGTAAAATGTGGGTATTATCTTGACACTATAAGAAGGAGAGCCATTAATATTCAGCAGATAAACGAAGAAGACATGCATGAATGACAGAATAATGAACAGAATATTGATAGACAGAATATTAATGCATCGAGCGATCAAGAGCAAATAGAACAGGCGTCGGGTTTAAATAAATTTATAAAGATTCCACGAATCAATATCTAAAAATATGCGTTGCAATATTTATATTTAATTGGAATATTAGCAGTGAAAAACAAATACAAAACACGGTGTTTTTGTTCAACATTAAACCATTGTAATATTATTAGCAGTGAAAACAAATACGAAACACGGTGTTTTTATTCACTGCCGACATTCCAAACTTCGCCTGCTCCTACTGCTGTCATCACATAAGCAGTATCGTAGAGCAGGATGTAGGGCAAACGATAGGGCAAGCAGCGAACTAAACTTGGCAAGCTATATCAGCTCTACATATCAGTGGGTCATACGACACGATGTTTGTTCACGTGTGATATGAACATATTATCGTGTCGTTGCACATTGCGCTGACGTGGGAGCTTGTAGGGCCTATACACACACACACACACACACACACACAACACACACACACACGCACACACACACACACGCACGCACGCAACGCGCCGCGCGGCGCGCACCACGCTGGCGCGCGCGCACCACACACCACAACACACAGCACACCACACACACACACACAACCACACGCGCGGCTGCACACATCACACAGCACACACATCACAACACAGCAACACACGCACCACACACACACACATACACACACACCACGCACGCAGCGCGCACGCACGCCAACACACATGACATTATATATATATATATTATATATATATATATATATATATATATATATGTCCTGGGTTGTGTGTGTGTGTGTGTGTGTGTGTGTGTGTGTGTGTGTGTGTGTGTGTATGTGTGTGGCCCGAGCTGGCCTGTTTCACTGTTTGTCCTGGATCATATACTCTACATATGTACGAACATAGATATAGTTATTCTGTAGCTATAGAAGGCGATTACCCGAGCGTAGATTTAAAGAGATAAATATTTTTCAAAGTTCTCAGTTTATCAAAACAACGGCCGCCCTAGCTGAAATAAAGTACCTGTGGCTGTGACAAGAGCGATTTCAATGATATGCTCGGTATTCTGGTTGATACTAGCAGGGGCGTGTACAGGATTTGTACCAGGGGAGGGGGGGTCTAACCGTAACCCCAAACTTGAGAGCACGCGAAGCGGGGGGGGGGGGTGTCTTTCTAATTTCTAATTTTTCTTTCTAATTTTGAAATATTAGACCCCCTAGATGCGCGTTTTTCTGCGCGAAGCAAGGGGGGTCCGGACGCCCTGGACCCCCCCCCCCCTGTAAACACCCAGCAGCCCCTGACTAGAGCTGCAATACAAAATCAAACTGCTCTCAAATTTGGTTTCCTACATTTCAATTACTTTTAGAACAATTTAGGACGATTTCAACCAAACATTAGCTGTTTCATGTGCAGATGAACTGCGCATGGCGCGAACATAGATGTGAGCGTCGGCTGCATTAGTGATTTTTCCGAGTTTTGGTCGTTTTGTTCTGAATTCGACGGATGCTCAGTGTCTGCCCGTAAGAAACAGTTATTTGTTAGTAAAATTATGTTTTTAATTTGGTTAATCAGAGCAGTAGATACGTAAGATTAGTTAATGTGGCTAATATCTGTCAACAAGGCATGTGTTTAAATATGCTAAAATGCTCCTAACTTGGTAGGGTACCCACGACAAACCCATTCTGTGCATATAGTCCACCGAATCTACATGTATACGTTTAACAAAATATTCGCATTTTTTGACAAATACGTTGCATCCAATAATCTCATATCTAACCGCATGAATAATTAAAGATGTTGTTTCTAAAATTCTCCCGAATATTTTGCAGAGTTGGGTAACGAGTTTTTGTTAAAATATTATTCAAATTAGCAGAAGGAGGCAGAAATGTACTATTCGTGTTTTATGAAAATCTCTATTTGCACATCTATCTTAATTGACAATTATAAGATGACAGTTTTCTAGAAAATTCCTTTGCTTTTTAACGCATACCCACGATTAGTTTGATAAATGTCCATTAACCATTTCAAACTTTAAAATGATAAGCTTCTCTCACAAGCATCCCAAACTTATATTAAATAGGAATTTCCCCATTTTATATTAATATATACGTTATATCGCCTGTGTGATTAGAGTTTTTATCACTTACTTTAATGAATACTGCGGCTTGCTTGCCAAGCATTTCCCGAATTTCCCCATGCTGTAGCACCGAGTGTGATTTAGATGCCCGTAACGACGGAGCAATCTGCATAATGCAGGACGCATATTGATCATCTCTGTAAGCGCCACGCTCTCTACGCACAAGTATAAACGCACTTCGACGCCAGACGCGCATATCTGTAAAATGCTTACGCCGAGAAAAAAAGGAAAAGGTAAAAAAAACGTCGATGAATTTCTGCACCGCATCCGTGCCTCACTGGTCGGCTTCCACCAATAAAGAATAAAAAAACACGGTAAGGGGTATTTCAAACAGCGATTTGCTCCCGATTTAAATTCCGTCGAAAGAGAAGCATAGTCGCACCTGTTGCAAAAAAAGTTAAAAAAAAAATAAAGTTTTAAACAGCAGGGGATTCTTGTTATCATAGGGCCCGAAACGCGTTTCTGACGACACGCCCCGTGCTGAATAATATTGTCTGTGTAACGATTATCTTACACGCTTTACACTTATAGTTGACTAGAACAGCATCGCCCGATATCGATTAAGCCAGCAGTAAAATAAGTCACGTATCATAAACTAATAATAATAATAATATAAACATATATTAATATATAATATAATTAATATTTGCTGATTATTTACTCTTGATTTAAGCTACGACACGTGATGCTGCTATATGCCAGTGGCGCTTGTATGTTTACAAACATTGTTCATCGTTGATTATTATTACCTAATTAATTTCGCTTGTTGTTATTCTTAGTTAGAAGGAACAGTATTGTCATGCGTAGAGAAAAGTATGTGCTAGCCGAATCAGCAGGACTGCACCATTTATAGCGGGGGTGAGGTGCTGAGTGAGTGATGAGTGGGTCGGTAGGAGTGTACCATTTATTGCGGGGGTAAGGTATTGAGTACGTGGTAGGTGTATCGGTGGCAGTGTACCATTTATTGCGGGGTGGGGTGTTAAGTACGTTAAGTGCGAAGAAACGCGAGTGCAGAGTTGACGGAGATCAGTGGACTAGTGGTCGAGTATGCGTGAACCTACCCCCTCCCCTCACCCCACCCTCGACACAGAGATCATGCGTTACCATTAGTGTTTAACCAGGGACTCGTGCGTTTTTAGACACAATAATGTAACCCAACAAGAGTAGGCTAGTGCGTTTCCCAGGTTGTTCGAACCTGTCACTCACAAGGATGGCACGCTGTTTGCAGGGACGAGGCGATAATGGAGGTATAAGCAAGCAGCAAGAAACAAGACACGTGCAGGCGCCGGACAGCGGCGGCAATTACTGGACAACCCGCTCCGGGCGCTTCCCGTATAACCGCTTCGCACACAGGAAGATCTATCCCGGTGAAATTACACATCCTATAGCTGCGTCTTCCGGCCTGCGGGCCGAAATAGTTAAACACGAACGTTTTTTTTTCGATGCGGAAAAAGAAAGTTCGTCGAGCCAGCGCGCGGGTGGTGAGTGTTTAGAATTTACGGCGATGGCAGGCGATTGCCTGTGACTTTAGCAGAGAGTCGGGGCCTATGGTCGGGGCTTCGGTGTATTTGCGCGTCTGCCGCGCCGCTAGCAGAAAATACATTGGTAGGTGGCGCCCTCAGGCGGTACACAAACGTCTTAATTTGAACCGTTTCGAAGTCGTTATTACTATTTCCACTGTGAAATTATTCTGTCATTCTGTTATTTTTTCTTTACATACTCGAGATTAATTCTTTTATTATTTGATATTACCTTCGTGCATTGATGTTTTGCTTTTGAATTCTGTCGGAACGCACACAAGCTATTGGAAAAACGGACTGGTGATGACTGCCAAGCCGCAGTAATGCATTAATCCAGATTTAATAGATTAATTTAGATTTTTATCAAGCTGTGCGAAAGTAAACGCTCTTTAATGGCGTCGACTGCTCACGATTTTCGTCATGGTATTCGTTATAAACGTTCGTAGATTTCCCTTGAAAATAATTATAAAAAACGCGTGAGAGCGATTTTCACGAGAAAATGTTTGCAACCTATTTATAGGACTTTAATAATCTACATTCAACGTAGCAATGCCGCGAGCGAGCTATTTACCCAAACCTACGTATTTTCACATGAAAAGACTCTGCATTTCCATTGAAACGTGGATCAAATACGACTTGGCACGCCGACAGAGGTCGCT